TGGTACGTTTTAAAGTCCCATGTGAGGATGTTAGTTATGAATTTATAGTTGTGCCAGATAACCACATAGCAGTATTCAGAGTGTAGGATCCTAGTAAGAATATTTTGAGAATGATAGCATTCAGATGTTGAATACAAAAGGAAGTAAAGAAGAAAGTGCTAAAGAATGGAGAAAAAGGCATCAATATAGTGCACAGGTTAAAGAATGTTTGGAGGATATGAAGTGAGTGTAGTTAAATAATCAAGCTGAAAGAAGAAAGAAGAGGTATTCAAAATGTTCAGGTGCTTGAATTAGAGGCAATTTCAGATTATGGAAATATCAATATGGCCTTTCCTTTATTGGAATTGAAGTAGTTGAAATTATATTAGAAGAATTGCCTAAATGCATATTGAAGACCCTCACAAGCATTGTACATTTGGCGTTCAGGTGCCAGTATCTTTGATGAATAATTGAAAGAGACCAACCTGAGGTCAACAGAAACCATGACTAGAAGAGAGAGAAGGTGATATTGTCAATTATGTCATTCTTAAAGGAGTAATATTGTTATAAGAAGGTATAGAATAGCAGAGGACTGTCAAAATCGTGTTAGAAAAAGAAGTATTATGTAAGAGGACTATCGAATGTTGTGAATGGTTTGCATGTTTAGCTGCTAACTAAAAGGTGGGAGATTGAAGCACATTGAGAAGCACCTCAGACAAAGAGGAAACGCCACAATGTCGGGGAATCTGCCATTGAGTAACCCGATGGTAGACAATTCTACTCTGACAGACACAGGGTATTCATCAATCAACATCAACTCAACAACAGCAATTATTTTGGAAGAGAACTAGAAAGGAAATAGTATCATCAGGGTAGGGCTTGGTTTTAGGGTAAGGAGTTGAAAAGAACTCTCTGGAAAGAGACTCGAAATACAAATGAGTTTGATAATTATCTAGCAAAATTTCCAGAATGTTTGCTGAAAGAGCGTGAGACGTGAATGGTATATAGAGGGCTGTTTCAGAAGCAGTGATATAACATTAGACGCATGATGACCAGGAACTGAGACCTTTAAAATAAATTTACAATAAGTGATTTTTGAATCATTTGATGCTCCTGTGATTTGTTTGCTGAAAATATTTTTTAAATGGTCACAGATATGCATCTTGAAGGAATTGCCAAAAATTTAAGCCAGATTAAGAAGAGGAAGAGGACATGCTGAAGTCAGATAGATCTTGGCCAAAAACAGAATGAAAGACTGATATTTACCTGTGTTTTATTGACTTTGCAAAGGCATTCGACTACGAACAAACTAGGATGACATTGCAGAATGGAAACCCCAGAACACTGTATTGCACCCATGTGGGAGCTTTGTACATAGACAAAGAAGTAGCCCTTCACACAGAATAAGGGAATGCTGCATGGTTGAAAATCAAGGAAGGCGTGCATGCGGTTGCATCCTTTCAGCGTACTTATTCCATCTGTATGCCAGTCAGAGGAGTCAGGATATAGGAAAAACATAGTCTCAAGATTAGAGAAAGACTCTTTAACATGCTGCTAAACTTTGCTAAGTAAAAGCAAAAGGGGCTTGAAGCACTTACTAGTGAAGATCAAAGACTGCCGCCTCCGGCCTGGATTACACCTCAGCATAAAGAAAGCATAAGTCCTCACAACTGGACCAATAGGTAACATCGTGATAAAGGGAGGAAAGATTGAAAATTGTCATGGATATAATTTTATTGATGCCACGATCAACGCTCATGGAAGGAGCAGTCAAAAAACCAAATGATGCATTGGGCAAATTTATGGCACAAGACCTCTTTAAAGGGATAAACAGCAAGGATGTCGCTTTGAGGACTAAGGTAGGCCCGACCTCAGTCAAGGCATTTTCAGTCACCTTATATGCATTAGAAATGTGGACAATGAATAAGGACAAGCAGAGAAGAATTGACGCCTTGGAATTGTGGCATTGGAAATAATAGTGACGTTACCATGGACTCCGCAAAGAAGCGACAACTCTGTGTTGAAAGGACAGCCAGGGTGGTCCTTAAAAGCAAGGCTGGTGAAACTTCATCTCACGTAGTTTGATGTATTACTGGGAGGAACCAGTTTCTGGAGAAGAACTTCATGCTTGGTAAAGTAGAGGGTCAGCCAAAAGGAGTACGAGACTCAACCGTCAAAGCAATGCTTTGAGGATAGATCAGGAACAGGCAGGCTTTTGTTCTGTTCTATAGGGCTCACTGAATAGGACTCAAGTTGAAGGCACTGATAAAACAACAACCAGCCTTTTATCTATCTACTCTTTAAGACAAATGATAACCAAATCAGCTATCACTAGATGTATTGCTAGGCATCTATGCTAAGCACGGTAGCAAGAAGATTGTAGTTATTAATTTGCACATTAATAAAATGTAGCTCACTCAAATTCCAGCTCTACTACTTGCTAGCTGTCTGACACTAGGAAATTTATTTAGCCTCCCTAGGGTCTCAGTTTCTACCGCTGTACAGTGAGAAAAATGTAACTATCCCATAGAGTTGTGAGAATTAGATGAGATTATTCATGTTAAATGCTTCATATGGTTCAATTTATATTATGTAACATATCATTTAATTCTCACAATAATTAATGAAGTAAGCATTATTAGTATCATTAGTTTACAATTAAGGAAACTTAAGCTTAAATACATGAATCATTTCCTAGACCAATTTTATGATGAGGAGAATAAAATACCTATATCTCAGCTTCCAAACTTCTTACTTTTAGTCACTATGCATAATACCTGTGAATTTTACTCTTGGCACATACTGTACATACTCGAGTATAGGCTGAATTTTTCAGCACATTTTTTATGTAGGTTTTGTGTCTCAACAGATATTCAGGTCAGCTTATACTCGAGTATATATGGTATATATAAAAAAGAATTGGGCAATTGCCAGGCACAAATATTACTTGACACAGCATCAAATTTCTCTTACAGCTGCTAACCTGTACAGTTATTATTCAGACTCCTAGCCTAGGCTCCAAGCTCGAATGCATAGTCGACTAACCAGGGTGCCAAGCCCTGCTGGCCTGATCGTGACATGGTTGCAGACTTCCTAGAATACACTGCCTGGTTTCTTGATCTCTCTACTTGAATGATTCTTAACGTTCTGTTTGCTGGCATCTAGTGCAGGTCACAGTTCCAGTGCTACCCTGATGGTTGTCACACTCCCATTTGCTACTTGTCATAATCTTAGCATATTGCTTATTGTCTTCTTTCCACCAAATAAGAATGTAAGATCCATGAGAGCAGACACATATCCTGTTTTATTTTGTTGCTTCAGAGCCTAGAAGGGTAGACAAGGAGTTGCTAAGAGAGTGAATTAACTGTCTATTGGGACTCATTGCTCATGTGCACTCCAGCTCAATGCTCCAACTCTCTTGGCAGAACTTAGAGGACTCATCCACCTCCTGGTTCTTGGAGCTTACTACCATGTAGCTCCTGATCTAATAGTGAATCAGTGTCGCTTTAATATCATAGTAAAACAAGCGTTAATTTTGAGAATCCTTTTATTCAAAATAGAATACAGGAACGTTAAGTCTGATTTTTTTCTGATTTTTCATCAGATTTTTAATAATATTATCCTCGGTTGCATTACACTCAAAAGCAAAGCAAACCAAACTCGGCGCCATTCAATGGAAGCAGATTCATAGCAACCCTGTAGGACAAGTTGTAATTACACCTGTGAGTTCACAAGACTTTAACTCCACTGGCGTAGAAAGCCCCGTCTTCCTCCCGAGGAGAGGCTGGTGATTCATAGTTGATGGTTCTGTGGACTGCAGCCAAGGCATCACCACCATGCAACCAGAGTTCCTCGTGCTGTTACCCTGAAGCCATGAAATCAGTCGTGAACCTTTAAGGAATTGTACTCACTAAAGTTTTGATTGGCTAATGTGAGAAAACGTGTGAAACATCTAGTGTATGGTAGTTACTCAAATAGTAGTGTTCCCTCTCCCTTCCTCTTTGTTTAAAAACTCCTTTATAAAAAAGCACTTGCCTTGCTTAAAATCACAGATACTTGAAACTTTAGGGGGTTGTGTTGTTATAGATTACTGAAAACTTGACATCTGCTTTAATTTTCTCTCGGATGTAATTCAAGAATTGAGAAAAAGAGACTTTTCAGGCAAAGGCATTCACCCTACACTCAAATAGAGAGAGAGCAGAAAGGTGATATCTTGAAAGAAAACGTTTCAGATCTAATCCTTTTTTTTATTTGGTTCTAGTTCATTCTCATTCAAAACAAAACTTCAGAGAAATATTTACATGTTGAACCCATAGGCCTTTCAAAATGTATAAAAAGATAGCATGCCTCAGTAACTTATAGATGTAAGCATTAATGTAGTGATCATATTTCAATTTTAATTTCCTAGAGTCTCTTATGCAAAAATGTGTCTGAAAATAGAGTAGATTAGCAGGAAACAGTACCTAAAGCAGACCAGCTCAGTGAATGAAATAAAGAATTTCATTTTCTGATACATGCTGTTAAGAGATAACTCAACGTTATGAATGGTTGAGAAGTGTTAAATTTCCGTGTCTTGGTGGTTTTATAAAAGTGTGCACATGATTCACAATTTTAAAATGAGTATGTAGACTTCAAATTTGGAGCTTTTTGGACATCAACGATGTCTGACTTGAGTATGATAAAAATTATTTTGACATTAGATTCACCTAATCATATCTACATTAAGATGAATATATATGAAAATACATGTTTATGAAATAATACTAACACCATTAAGTTGGTTGCAACTCATAGCAAACCTATGTGTTTCAGAGTAGAACGGTGCTATAGGACTTGGGGGCTATAATGTTTACAAAACAGGTGATCAGGCCTTTCTTGTGCAACACCACTGTGTGGGTTTGAACCACCAACCTTCAGGTTAGCAGCCAATCACAAGCCACTTGCAGCACCGAGGAACTTTACGTGGATGGACGTATAATCCTGTTTTTTCTTTCAAATTATTTTTTCTTTCCACTGTTAGCATGATCGCCTCAGAATCAAGCAATGAAAATTTGGAGGAGAACATAGACAAACCTCAGGTAAAATAAGCAAAACACTTAAAACTACCTTATGATAGACGCCATAAAATCAAAATGATCTTAAATTTAATTTCTAAAGTTTACCTATTAAGTTTCTCTTATATGTCTAGTTTAAAAATGAGAAGTAGTCATTTTAAAATGGCTACTTTTAATTGGTATTAGGAAATTAGCAGAAGGTGTTTTCGTAACTTATGGAAAGAGGTAATTTAGAGTATTTTGTAGCTAAAGAGCGCAGACTTTTCTGGTAATTGTAATGCGGCTTATTTTTTTCTTGCCCTGTCCGGGAAAAACTCAATAATCTAAATTAACAGAGGCGAAGACAAGCTGGGTTAATTTAAATGTTAGATTGTGTATTTTAAAGACAAAATTTTAATATTAGTACTATTATGATAGGTATGTGCACAGGAGCTCTGGTGGTGTACTCGTCTATGCTCTAAATTGTTAAACATAAGGTCAGCAGTTCAAGCCCAACAACTACGTCACCGGTGAAAGATGAGACTCTCTACTCCTGTAAAGCCACCCAAAGGGGCAGTTCTATCCTGCCCCAAAGTCTCCTCATGAGTCAGAGCCTACTCAATAGCAGTTAGCTTGGTCAGTCTTCACCAAAATCAAATATTTCTTTTTTCCCAATTTAAAGTCTCATAATCAGACTTTGTGTTGGTCTAGGTTTAATAAGTAGTAACTTTTCATAATGAAAATGATGAGTGTTATCTATTTTAAAAATCAATGCTTCCACATTTCCTTTTCGGTCAAAGCCCTTCTTGCATCATTGATGGTAATACAGTTGTTAACCTGTGATGACCCCATTCTAGTCTGTGCTAACGTATAAGTTCTGAAATAATAAAAGTTATTATTTCACCTGCACCTTAATCAGAATTTACCCTTCTCTCGTTACCTTAGCGCTTTTGGACCTTGACCAACTTTCCGGATCAATTGTCAACAGCACAGCTCCATCAGGTAATCAGGGCTGAAACACTTTGGTCTGGGAGAGTCACATCAATAATTCTTAGGCACCGGTTGCTGGGCTGCCCGAATCCCTATTTAGTAAAGATTATCTCTCCTTTCTTGCATCTCTTCATGCTCTCTAGCCCTCTTATGCGTTCCTGTGACAGTGTGATGTCCTAGATCACTGCTCTCAAAATACTATCGATCCATGCAAAATATTGGCACATGAGTGTGCATACACATACACGCATCGTGGGGACTGGAAGGCAAATTTGGTGATCTCAACTGAAGGTTTACACTTTTTGGGGGGGTGTATGGTTTAACCTCAGGGGAATCCATTCAATAATCACCAAAAGCAAGCATGTATTTTCTTCCCAAGCAAATGTCTCTAATTAGACTCAAGGAAAACAAAATATTCATTGTTGTGGAACCTACCCTGACGCATCGTGGCCTTGGTGGGCAGAGTATGGTGGGCAGAGTAGGACTGTTCCAACAGGGCTTCTGAGCCTGTACGTTTTTGTGGTAGCACACTGCCATGCCATTCTTCCTCCTTGACACATAGCCCACTCTAACATCAGGATTCCTGTAATTAGGTGATTATTAAAAGGCCGGGAAGATTGTTATTTATCCATGCACTATGTAGACATTTTACATATAAATATGAATGGAAGCATGATCCTGGAATTTCTCGTTTTCTTTCATTTGTATAATACTTCAAATGAAATGAGTCCAAGAAAAATTATTTTCCGCTCATTTCCAATTTAGCTATGTTTTAATTTTGTAGAAGTTTTGTTGGATTATCTGATAAACTAAGAAGGGACACTTTTAATTATTCTGCCCACCCTAAACTTGCTTAAGAAATTTACATAAATGGCCATTGAAAATGGTAAAGACTCAAGCCTTTATAAAAATAAATCTAGGTGTTTGTCAAAATGCACTCCTATGATGTACACTGGCACAGATAGGAACTGGAAACACAGGGAATCCAGGTCAGATGAACCCTTCAGGACCAGTGGTGAGAGTGGTGATACCAGGAGGGTAGAGGGAAGGTTGGGTAGAAAGGGGGAACCGATTACAAGGATCTACATATAAGCCCCTCCCTGGGGGACAGACAACAGAAAAGTGGGTGAAGGGAGGCCGTCGGACTGTGTAAGACATGACAATAATAATAATAATTTATAAATTATCAAGGGTTTGTCTGGGGGGGGGCACTGGGAGGGAAGGAAATAAAATAAGCTGATACCAAAGGCTCAAGTAGAAAGCAAATGTTTTGAGAATGAGAGCAACAAATGTACAAATGTGCTAGACACAATGGATGGATGGATGGATTGCGGTAAGTGTTGTATGAGCCCCCAATAAAATGATTTTTTTTAAATGCGCTCCTATGATATTCCCAAATGCCAGCTTATGACTACTAATATAAAGCATGAATTTTCTTTAATGTGTAGAATTTCTCATTTGGTAGTAATTGTGAGATCTGTACTTTCATAAAATTGTATGGAAAAATATATTTCTTAAAGGATTTGATTGTTTTGCCACAGATCCTCCAAGAACACAGTGAAAATGGCCAAGTTACGGAAACTGCACAACCAATTGAAGAGCGAGAAGTACTGACATCGATACATATTCCTTGTCCCCCAGTTGGAACATTGAATGAAGTTATTACAAATGGTATGTAAAATGAGGATTTTAAATAGGAAAAAAATGAAAAATACATTTTATGACTAGATACCAAAGTCACTGCTTAATTTGTATATCTAAATAATACACTGTTACAACTAAAATGTGAACAAAGGAAATATTTTCCCTTGTCTCTCTCCAAAAATAAAACTAATATTAATCATTTTCATGTCGTTCCATTAATTTTTTGGAACTATTAAGAGTAGTATTAATTTAAATTTGTACTTTAAAACTACTTTTGACCCTTAGGTTTTAAGTTAGCTAGAAAGAATTCTACCTCCAAAAAATGTAAGTTATATTTAAAAAGCAAGCAAACTCTGTCCCTGAGTAGACTCTGACTCACAGTGACCTTGGAGGACCGAGCAGCTTTGCTCTGTGGGTATCAGGGCTGTGCGTCATGGTGGGAGCAGAAGCCTCGACTTTTCCTGAGAAGCCTCTGTGGTTCAAACTGCAGACCTTGTGGGCAGCAGCCCAGTGTCCCCCACTGCACCACCAGGGCTCCTATAAGGCCTATAAAGAATGAAAGTTAGATTTAAATGAGTAGTTGAGGTTTAAACGTTTTACTTTCTGAGTTACTGCTTATTAACTCTAAACTTTTGAAAGTAAATTTTATTTTTAATTTTTTTTAATTTTTTTTTTTTTTTAGTTAATACCACGGAATGAAAATTTTCTCTGAACTTGAATTGGGCCTTATCTATCAATTTAAGTGAACAGATTGTTTTGTAAACATAAGTTCTGGACAAAGGTCTTAACTGACATATGGTTTATTTTACTTCTCTGAAAATATGTAATTCCCATAACCCTATTTTAGTGGACAGTTTCTATAAAGCATTTGTTAAGAATAGCACAGGGACTTGTGGGGAAAAAAGAGGGAACTATGCTTGTATCACCAAAGATCTGCAGAGCTTATTCAGGAGCAAACTGAGGGGTTCTAGAATGTGTGGACCAGAACTTCAATCTGGGTTCAATAAGCCATGTAAGCCACATCCTCTTTGTTTTCTTTGGTTTTTGATTTTGCAATTTTATAAAAAATTATAAGAAAAAAAATTTGCATACCTTCTATGTTTCTGTCTTGGGGATAGGTTATACATTCTTGTGAGATTTTACAATCTCTCTCACACACACACATCATGTTCACACTGGCTCCTTTATACACAAAGTATAGAATTCTGATCTCCAGATGTGCTTGCAACATCTTCAGAGTCCCAGTCTGTTCTACCATAGGATAGATGCTATACAACCCTGTGTAACTGCAATCATACAGCTAACCCAAACCAAACCCACTACGATCAAGTCCGTTATCATCCATGCAACCCATAGGACAAAGCAGAACTGTTTCCTACAGTTTCTGAGGCTATAAATCTTTACAGGAGCAGAAAACTCATCTTTCTCCCCTGGAGTGGTTTCAAACTGTTGACCTTGTGGATAACCGCCCAATGCGTAACCAACTATGCCACCAAAGCTCCTTTACACAGCTAAAGAAATCTATAAAATAGCATGTGCTCTGGGTTAGAGAAGGAAGTGGAGTTTTCATATCTCTATAGACCATATTTATTTCACCAATACCGGAGTATAGCACAATTCATTTAAATAAATTTAAACTTGCAACCACACACAGAAATCAATTTCATCACTTTTAATTGCAATTTTATCAGGTAGTGGCTTGTCCAGTACCTCATTTTAGGCTAATAAGTATCAGTTTGGGGAAATTTTTAATGATTGTTCCTTTTTAACTTACTTTCAATAAAATTGACATTTTTATGAAGTTATTTTTCCTTTAAGCAGCAAGGGAAATTTTACTATGTATTACATTCTGATTTTCAAATAATCCTGGGGCCAGAATTCCTTCATTGAAATGATATCCTTAGTTTTATTACATAAGCAGTCTTGATAGTTTAAGGTTCAAAATAATATCCCCATTCCTGTGGGTTCTGATCAACAAGAGAACTGATTTTTAAAAAACAAAACAAAACAAAACTAGCCACCATTGAGTCTTCATATGTTTCAGAGTAGAACTGTGTCCATAGGTTTTCAGTGACTGAAGTTTTAGAAGAAGATCCCAGGTGCCTTTCTTTCAAGGTAGATTTGAACCACCAGCCTTTCAAGTAATCATTGGTACCACGTGGGAAGAAAAGAGCAGCTTCGTTCGTGGAGAATCCATACTTTCCCCCAAGTAAAGGCATCCTTGACAAGCTGAAATAAAGACCATGGTTCTCAGCAGGCCATGTACCCTAACTATTTGTAGAGTTGATTCTTCAGAGCAAACTTTGAGTGACCAGTGAACTCCAAGGAAGGCCTTAATTCACAAACACAACTCTTAGCAGATTGGAGTTCTCCGGAGAGTAGAGAAGCTACGTGACTCATCAAGCTTGCCTTTTAGAGGCCTGTTTGCCAAAGTGTTTATCACTAAAAATAGAAAATTAAGACTGAGGAGTTGACTAATGGAGAGAGGTAGGTTTCTCACTTTTAAGGGCAAAAAACCACAATAGCTGTCCTGCACCATTTTATTTCCTGAACAGTGGCTTTGAAATAAACATCAAAGAATTATCAATGACAAGAAATTTCTCTGATTGTTAGAAAATTTTGTATTTGTGTTATAAAAGTTACGGTGCTTTCCTGAGTAATTTTAATTGAGATACATCAGGATTCATTTATTCTGAAGATATTTGGACTATATCTTACTTGCTGGGAGCCAAAACAAAATACCTGCTTAAACTCAACAAGAAACCTAGTAAATTCTTTACTCAGAATTCTCTTGTAATTCTCATGTAAAAATACCTCGGGCTACATTAGAAATATATTCATTTTCTTATCAGGCAACTCTGTTTCTCCCATGTCTTTCTTTTTTAAATTTTTTAAATTTTCACATTATTATCTCAGTTTTCCTCATGTTGCCATTTTGTTTGTTGATAAGCCCTATCCACTGTACAGCTCTAATATTTCCTTTTATTTAGAGGTCAGTCTTACTGGTTGGATAGAGCCTGGAGAAACCTGCCAGACTGGCCGTTCGTTACCCTTCAAGTTTGAAATTGAACTCACCCCCATGTTAGAATAATTAACTATTTAAGATCAAAAGGGCCGTATTGACCCAAATACAAAGTTGAGGGGGGGATTAGGAAAGAAGGAAGAATGGACACAGGAAACAACACAGGAGGAAGTGGGAGAAGTGATGTGACCTGAACAGGATTGCAGTTAATAAACTGAATCAGAATGTGTATCAGTTGTTCAATAATCTGCTCTGTTAACTTTCACCTAATTTACAATAAAACAGCTTGTTCGTGTAAACAATATATGAAGTCTGGGGATCCTTCCTACATGAGGGTGAAAAAATATATATACATATGTATTTTTTTTATCTTACTCGTAAATGTTAGCATGTCATTCAAGGGCTTCTGTACTCCATTTTCTGGTCTTCTTTCTCCTCTTCTCTCCCAGAAGGCCTCGCTTCACATACATAAATTTACTTCCGCTTCACGTGGCCTGGGTTTTCGCTTTTCTTTTCTCTCCTTGTGTTGTGAATTGACTGGAAGTTTACAGAACAACAAATCAGTTTTCCCTTCAACAATTTATACGCTTTTTGTTTCAGCTCATTGATGGCCATCCCTGCACTATTGACCCTAGTCGTCCCTATGTGTTTGTTTCTGTTCCTCCTCCTTTTCTAGCCTTTCTGAGCTTGGTCCTTGGGTACCAGCTTCCCTTTTGATCTCAAATGGTGGATTATTGTAAGAAGTGTGTGCCTCCCAAGTGTGATTGTTCTCTTTTGTGTTATTCTGGATAGACTAGAGAAGCAAATTCTTGGACACTCAGATGTGTAGAAGAAAGAGCTTTATAGTGTAGCAACGATGAAACATACAACTTTCCTCTAGTTCCTAAATGCCTCCTCCCCACCCACTATCATGATCCCAATTCTACCTCACAAATCCGGCTAGACCAGAGGATGTACACTGGTACTGATAGGAACTGGAAACACGGAATCCAGGGCGGATGATCCCTTCAGGACCAGTGCTGAGAGTGGCGATACCGGGAGGATGGAGGGAAGGTGGGATACAAAGGGGGAACCGATTACAAGGACCTACATATAACCTCTTCCCTGGGGGATGGACAACAGAAAGTGGGTGAAGGGAGACGTTGCATAGTGTAAGATATGACAAAATAATAATAATTTATAAATTATTAAGGGTTCATGAGGGAAAGGGGAGTAGGGAATGAGGGGGAAAAGTGAGCTGATGTCAGGGGCTTACGTGGAGAGCAAACTTCACAATGGGATGACGATGTAGAAGTTGTTTTGCAAAATACAACACCTGACAAATGTCTCCATCCGCTCCTGGGAAATCAGGTTGGTCATGAAAAAAAAACAAAAACGTATTTAATTACAAGATTTAACTTACTATTAAGATTTCTATATCTAAACTTATGAAAAATGTTTGATTATAATGATCATATGTTTTGTTGGTTTGTTTTTGTTTTCCTTTTTAATGATGCTTATGTTAGCCACATAAAGTGACTTGAAATTGTTTCCTCCTTCCATTTTACATACCAGAATAGTTTGTATAGGGAGAAACTTATATATAGTTCTTGGAGTATTAGTTAGACCTTCCATATGAGATTCTAAGGTGAGTTCTTTTATATGAGAAAATATTTAACTATTGGTTGAATTATAGTAATACATATAGGTCAATGCCCCTAATTTATATACTTGAAATGGCAAAATTTGTGTTATGTATATTTATCACAATAAAAAGATATAGGAATTTTCAAGTTTTCTGTTCCTTATTGAGTTGTTTTTTTAGAAGTTGTCTTTCATATATTTTCTCAGATTTTTCATAAAGCAATTTATAATATTTAATGACATTTTTTATTTTTAAATGTGATGTTGTAGCTTACTTTTTGTTTCTAATCTTGCTTATTTGTATCCTCTCTACTTTATTGATCAATCTTACCAGAAACTTGTCTTTTTTATATTTTGCATATAATCAGCATTTAGTTTTACA